GTCCCCCCCCCCCCCCCAATCCATTATAGCTTTTGCATGTGACATCATACATCTCTTCTCCCATTTCCACCTTAATTGGCATTATAAATCCATATAACTATTCAAATGTAAATACAGTTTTTGAATGCCTTTTCTTGCAAAATACACATTTTCTAAACATATTTGAAGTTATCATTTCTAAATGCAATTCATTTTAGAATACACCTTGGTATAGATATTTTGGTATTTTTTTTAATCTGAGAACTGCATCACAAGAACTTGGAGATGTGAGAAATTTGCAGATAACTATGTTCCAAGTCTCACATTAGTTTGGGAGATGGAGATCACTTCTAGTTGTTGTAAAATATGGATCCAGAATGAAATTCTTCATAATTCAATGTTATTATTTCAGTTACTAAATATAAGAAATATTTGATATTTCTTCCTCTCTTTATTGATACATGTTAGAAAACCTGCTTAGACAACACCATAGCTTATCTAATCTAGCATATCCTTACCAATAGTAGTCAGCGAGTTTCTGTTTGTAAGCACTGCATAAAGACATCTTTTGTTTTTCTACTAGTACCTTCTATTGAGAAATAGACTGGTGTTTGATTTAGCTATAGTGGTTAATGCCTATTGATAATTTAATACAACATTATGCACTACATAATATCTTGTTTCATCCGTTCTGGTTTTACTGCTGAGCAGCTTCACTGTATCACTTGAGCTCCTTATATTATGATATAGAGAAAATAACGTTACTCTGCCTACTTATTCTACTTCTATTGTTCTGCAAAAAGAAGATCCCAGAGCATTATAAAACAAGATATAATTCCACCTCTTTTCTGATACTCAGTAGGACTGGATTCAATGCTTGGATGAACGATCCACTTGGAATGCTATATGTGATGCCATGAGGTATGGGATAGAAGGAATGTGGGCTGAAATTTCCAAAGAGAATAGATCTGAATACTCCATAAAGAGTTCCATGCGGCAAACCCTAAACCCAAGCTATCTTTGCTTCCCCTCTTCCAAACATCAGAGCTCCTTACCTTGGAATAGGTTGCTCCATTGATTACTTCTCCCCTCCTCATCCAAATGATAGATGCTGCTGGTTTGGCATTGTCAGCATGACAGGTAAGATTCAGTGGATCTCCAGCTCGCAGGCTGATGATAGGTCCTCCAATAATGATTGGATCATCTGGAGGTACTGTGAAGAAAAGAGTGTATGATGAGATCCAGGAGCATCAAAATCAACTCAAGAGATTGTTAGGAAATCAGTTACACAGACTGAAAGAAAAAGGTTGGTGCAACTTGTAGAAATCCATGCCTGGGTCTGTACTGCAAATCAGCCAAGTTGTGGTTTGTCAGAGAACCGCTTACAGCAGCAACAGCTCTTGTTTTGTCAATAACAAGGTGCTTCCTAACCAAACTGCACTGAATTATTGTTCAGAACAGCACACATTGCACAAGGAGAATTAGCTATAACCAAATAACAAGGCTTATGCAAGAGGACTGAATGCTGATAAGTTAACCTGCTTTGATGGCACACTTGTTCATACAAAGCAGGGTGTTTGGTTAAAAATTGATTAAAAGAGATGATTTCTTTCCTCCCAGCTCAATGCCTATTTATGTCTGTTGATGTTATTTTAAAATCTATTCCTGTTTTGTAAACCAGAACCCCAGTGTAGCATTTATTCCAGAGGAAATCGTTCTAGAATATCACCCAGAGAATTAAATGTAATTTTATGTGATTTGGGATACTAAATCATGGAGATGGAATTCACTACATTTTAGCTTGCTTCCTTCCCCCTCTCTTTCTAACGCCTATCTGGTCATGTAGGGTTCCCCTTTGGAGCAAACAATTATGATCCATCTCCATTTTTGTTCCTATGAAAGCAAAATAAAATAAAGTAATAATTAATCTTATGGGGATGACTTTAAGTATTACAATAAGAGGAGAGAGAGCTTCCCTGAGAGGGATTTACTTCTGTTTCTTACATGTGCAAAAAATATTTTGCAGATTGGGATGGGGGACAAGATGATTGTTATGCTTGCTTTGCTTAGCTGTACCTGTGAACATCAAATCACATCGAGCCATATTTGGCTGGATAGATTCCCCTCTTCTGGAGCTTGAGAAAGTAGGCCACTTCTAGCAGAGTGATGATAAGTGGACAAGGGTAGCCTTGTCGCTAAACAGAGCAAGGCAATTGACTCAGGCACGAGGGTCCAGAAGAACAGAGACATATTGCAGGACCTGATCTGCATCCAGCAAGAGAAGATCCTTTCCCATTACAAGCATTGATGCGACTCAAGTTAGCTTTTGTAAATCACATGTACGGAGGGAGGGTGGAAGTCATGTCCTTTGCAATAAGAGTAATTCAAGCTCAGCTCCCCTTGAGAACAATAAGGAAATGCTTCATGGTTGCTTTCTGAATTCTTTCTAACAGACCCACTTGATTTTTTTATTTTATTTATTGATTAATCAAATTTATATAGCCGCCCATCTCACCAGAGAGATTTGATCCTGCAAATACCATTATGATCAGTAGGAAGGGAGATAAATAGATAATCCCTTACTTCTGGTGCCTATGCACTACTTAAAACACGTAAATTACAATATCATAAAAATACATTGAAGTGCTACAAAAGTACAGCAAAACAGTTGACTGTCTATGAAATACAACTGTGTAAAAAGGGTACCCACTAGTTAATATATCAATATAATCTTCTGAACCAATGAAATACAACCAGGAAAAGGAGTACTATATGAAATGCTCCAATATTGTTCATAGTACCATGAAACACTGCCCTGCTCCAAGGAAATGAATTAAAATAATAAAACATTTGATTACAGGACATCATGCAACCAGATTTTCCTCTGCTGTAGTTTACTTGTGTGGTTTGAGAAACAACCAAGGAAAACCTGTTCAAAACCAGCATCTGCAATGAGGAAAACGTTGAAAGCAAAGAGATAGAAAAAAGAAAGAATATCCATGGGGTTGTTATTCATAGGGGAAAATTCATATTTTTGATCATCTGCTGCACAGTGCTATGATGTCCCGGGTGCAGCTGGAACACTGGTCATTTGTGAGTGCCTGCATTTATTCCAAAGCCCAGAATAACATTTCCTGCCCTTGTGTCTTCCCTAGAATATTAAAAAAGGATGGAGGGTCTTCAGAGGGACAAGCTTTCCAGTGCCATGGGTTGAAATCAATTATATTTAAGGGAAAAGAATTTTCAGAGATTGCCTCCTAGGTACGCTGAATCAAAAGCTTCTTTTCATGGTTGCTCTTGAGATTTTATGCAATGCACCAAGTTCTTCTAAAGACATTCTATTAATGTTTGTATGCTAGACCTTGGTGGCATCTCTAGGTGGCAGACAGACCATTTAGGTTCTAGTGTTTGTTCGGTTTTTTTCCCCTGTGTTCAGCCTTCATTGTCTGAAATGGGTTTAGACACTGGATATGAAAGCAATAACATATTTCCTTCAGTTTATTTATTTACTGCATTGCTGACGGCACTCTCCTGCTGTGAGCTATGCACATCTTATGTTATGAAGGCTGGAGGCGGCAGCCGTCATTCAGTCCACAATGCAAAGCAACAGATTTGGTCTAAACAAAAAATGGAGGGAATCGGATAAATTCAACCAATTCGATACATAAATCAGACCACTAACTGATGGCTGTCATAGCTGAAAATGCTGAAATGCTCACGTAGTCTAGTCTTTCTGGGTGTTTCAACAGAGTGGAGAATATCCATATTACAACTGACATGAATGAGTTTTTACAGTTTTTTTTTTAAATGAATTTCTGCTAATGATTAGTTCAGTAGCTTTCAGAAGGGATTCGATAACTTCATTAGTGACTGCAAGTTTTGATGACTTTCTGCTACATTCAGAATCAAAGATTACAGCTTGGGTTAAGAAAAGGGCTATTCTTTCACAATCTGCTTATGAGGCACAAAGAGATCTGGTCCGTCACTGAGTGACACAGAATATTGAACAAAATCCATCTTTGGATGGACCCAGCAGGCCTCTTTTTATGTTTCTGGAATGTTTTTGTCTTCTTCTCACCTCACATAACTGATAAGGAAGCCAGGAACAGCCCCAATTCCCAATTTATACAGTCTCGGGGGTTCATCATGTTTGTTTTAGAGAACATGATGAACCCCCAAGAATTCCCTCAAATAGCAAAGTCACATGGTTCCCACCAATCTGACACAGAATAAGGCTGTTTAGAAACAAAAGGGAAGATCAGCCTCTTCAGCTGAAACTTGAGGCATGCAGAAATATAAAACTTTAAGGAAAGGAACAATCTTCCCTGATAAAGAAATATGCTAAGCACCCAGAGGTCTTGAGTTCAAGCCTCATCTGGTTAGAGCTGAGAGAATTCTTGCCTTCATCCCCAAGGAATATTGCCAATCTGTGTTGACAATATTGGCTTTGATGAACCAATGATCTAATTTAAAATAAACAATCCAGGATAGTATTCCATGTTATCTCGGTGCCTATAAATCCCTGGTTACTCAAAAGAACTGAAGGAGAAAGAAAACGCCTACTCCAAGTCAGAGTCAATGCTAAGAATGGTCGGTAGGCTTGATTCATTCTGTACAAAGAGGTGGTATGCTGAAATAAATCCAAGACAACTAGGGTCACGAGATCCAGATGGAAGCACAAAAACTCATAGTCAGGGATGGTTATGAGCAATATAACATTACCCCAAAGTTACTGGGAACACAGAAAGACTGCCAGGTGGAGGCTTAAATAGTGTAATGGGGCAAACGTTCTTTAATCCTGCAAGATTTGTATCTCAGACTTCAGCTTCAGGGGTGGCTCTCATCAAGGATTCCTCAAAGACAGGCATGACAGGCAAAGATGCTAACTGATAGGAAAGGAATTTTTTAAATGGATAAACCAAATGTGATTCAGAAAGAAGTTCCTTTTTGAAGTCCCCTATTTTTCCCTTATTAGAGGAAAATTATTTTTATCTGCCAAGTCCTGCTTAACTGAAGGGAAACCTTCAACTCAAGAGAGAATTATCAGGTATCTCCCTATTATCAAGGAAAGATTTGAGAGCATTTTACTTCAATGGCATCAGATAGCTCACTTTGGGGTGAGAAATTCCATCATGCAAATTGCTACCTATACTGACACCTTGCAAAAGACTTGATTTTGTGTATGTGCGCATGTGTGTGTGTGTTTGCATCTTTACATGTGGATGTGTCCATCATGACAGGCCTGCACGATTTGTATAACACCCAAGAGTCACTAAATTCTTTCACTGTAACATAACTGCATATTTTTAGATTTATTATCCACATAGGCTCAAAGAAGGCAGCTATAGGGTAAAAACAGTCTAAATTCATAAAATTAATGATGGGTGCATTCCCTGTGGTTTCTCTCAAACCATTACTTTAAAAAAATGGAAAAAATGCATGCATACACACACCCACACACCCACTTGATTCCTCCCCCACAAAGAAGACTGGAGAAAAAAAGGACACTGATACTTTACCACATCTTCAGTCGCTCCACCCCAGTTAACCCCAGCAGACTCTGGTTTATGTCAGTGCTGTGCAGACTTACATATCCTTCCATTCTGTCTTAGCTCTCCATTTTTTTGTTAAAAATCAAAAACAGCAAATCCACAGTTGTTTTTATACATATATTTTTGCATCTTCTCCCACATATCTTATATGTGACCGTCTAAATATACTTTCTACAGCTACCCCAATTACATGCATTTTTCAACCCCAACATTATACAGTGGTACCTCGGGTTACGAACGCCTCTGCTAACGAACTTTTCGGGTTACGACCAGCTCCGCCTGCAACAATTTACCTCGGTTTGCGAACTCCGCCTCGGGTTACGAACCGGATCCACGGCCATTTTCCCTCCCGTGACACGGTCCGCGGCCATTTTTCCACCCCTGACACGTGGTCTGCAGCCATTTTCCGCCCCTGACACGCGGTCCGTGGCCATTTTTCTGCCCCTGACACGTGGTCCGCGGCCATTTTTCCGCCCCTGACACGTGGTCCGCGGCCATTTTTCCGCCCCTGACGTGGTCCACGGGGGT